CATCGGCCTGTAGGATTCTAAATAATATAAGTATCTGTATAATAATAATCTATATAAGCTTTCTCGTTGTAGAAAGATATTGTCGCAATCGCCACGCTTAGACTAGACTCGCAAAACACTATCTCAATATGTATAAAATAATTCTGCGACATGTATCCAATTCAATGCAATTTGTCAAATACCCTTAAAGCGGCATTCTCTCACCTCTTCTGTTTTAAATTTTTATCAATCTTATCACAAGCCTCAAGTGAACCATCCAATATCAACAATTCAATAGCATTACTAAACGAAGATTTATATTATATCTTTGAATGTTCCACTGTGTTCTGAATTAAAGTGAATCCTCCTAAATGTCAAGGGATCATTTTAGGTAGGTCTAGATACTTATCCAAATTAGATATCTCCACTTTGCTGTTTATTTCGTGCAACAACAATGCTATCCCATACTCGTCACATGATAATAATCTCGGTTTGTACGTTGACTTGTGTTTCACGGAACAAGCAGATCCTGGAAGTAAGCCGCAAAGTTATCGTGATCGCAATGTTGCAGCATTGCGATCTCTTTTTCGCATGAAGATTTTTCTTCCAACCATTACAAAAGTTTTGCTTGTTTAATCTCTTATTCTGCCGATACTAACACAGACTATGTCGATGTGTGTTGCACAGACTACTCTCAACAGCATCTTGACACATTGGATCGTCTCCTCAGCAACTGCAGCAGATACATGTACGGTCTTCGTAAATATTACCATGTATCTTCTTTTCGTACTCAGCTTAACTGGCTACCTGGCTATACGTCAGTGCAGATATGTTAGAATACTCTGCATTCTTTTCACTATTCTGAACGATCCTTGTGCTCCTCAGTACTTGTTTTGACATGATTGTTTTTTCAGTCCTTCGGATAATCTAAAGCTGCTGACGCTTTTACACCTTATTGGTTATATGTTTCACTCTTTCGCTCTTACGGATATAAGAACGAAATACCTCTTGACGTTAAAAAGCTTCTCACAAGTTTCTTTTCAACGTTCGTGAACACTTTTGCAAAGCATTGCAAGTGTGAATGCTTTTTTCTAAAGATGATGCATGATAAATATATATATATATATATATATATATAAAAAAAAAAAAAAAAAAAAACATGATAAACAAGGAATATATGTGACGATAGAATCATTCATATAAACTGTATTAATTGTTTGTATTTAAGTTGATTTATGTTTGTTTGTATTATATTTATATAATATGTACTTTTGAATTATATATGTATGGAATACCTTTTATATATATACAGAACACAGGTTAACGCTCATTTCCGAATCGTTTAAATATAATTATCTAATTCTCAAACGAGCTAATATCCCTATGATGTCCTTCATAACAGTCATATATGTTATTATGAAGGATAGCTATTCTTTCTGATATGCTTTTGAATTCGTCTATGTATTCTTATCTACGATACTTACGACGTAATTACATTTTGTATCACCTTTATAACATAGAATTTACTCCTTACGATCTGCAGTGTTTTCGCCAAATCTTCTCTTTAGAGATATTTTTGGTGTCTTTTCTCATGTGCCATGTCATGTTTTCTCATGTGCGATCCGAGTAAGAGACAGCAAGATAAATAATCAAAAATTATACTATGGGATGGCAAATAAAAGAGGAAGAGAAGCCAGGAGATGGATAAACGGTAAAAAAATCAAATTACTTGACATGAATGCCCCTTATTGGAAAAAGCAAACAATAGGACAGTATAGTAGCAGCTAGATGAGACCTACATACATGGCACAGGATACGCTGATCACTTGAGAAATTTAAGTTAAAACATATAGTTTGTATATATTATAATATCAACAAAAAAGTGTAAAAATGTTATTGTGTAATAACACAAGCTTTTTACAAACCAATGCAGCTGACTAGCAGTGATTTATCAGGCTAGTCCTGTGCTCCCTTGGACGTGAATATTGTCATATGGCCATCCCATAAGTAAATTTTACTCAAGAAAACATAAAAAGATAGTAAGACGGTTCCCCTAGCGAGAGACCTTGAGCGTTCGGTCCCATACAATGCACGCGCTCTCGCTACAATATATCGCGTAAAAATACGCCCGAATATTTGGAATTATTTCAATTAAAAAAGATAATTTAAACAATTAAAAGCGAACTTAAGAAATTAAATAAAACGTGTAGAATATAGATTTTTAAATTATCTCTCCATTAATGTAATCCTCAAATGATTACAGCATTTCCTTTAGTAACAGATGCGTGTAACCAATAATTTTAGTCATTTTTTAAAAGTAAATTTTAAATGTATACATAACACATAAAAACAAATTAGAACGTGGAATGTGATGATAGGATATCTAACATTAATAATGTGCTTTTAGATGTAGCTTATTTCTCATAACTAATGAGATAACAGTCTCTGAAAAACGCACTTTTGCAAGGTTATGGCAACCTTATGCTTCCCTGACTCGCACTTGAACAGTTTTTGTTTGCTGGAATAATTTCGTATGCAGTTACATAATACGTACAACTGTAAACATCTATTTATACTATATACCCTTTACTAATATATTAATGTATAACGGATCTAAGACCTAGGTGCAAATGTCTAGTCAGTATTTTATTGCTATAATAAAGAAGTCGTAATGGGAGACTTCTAATTATTCACAAGACACTTTAAGTGTGTGATTCAGCGATAAATACGGCGTATTTGCATTTCCCTGCTCGGTTAATTGTCATGACATAAATCAGATGCTGTTAAACACAATTGACTTTTGACATCGCCTGTTTTCATGTTCAATAATTATACATCCTATTTCTGTATACGGTCATCTTTTTGACAGGATATTAAGGAAATGATTGCCCGTTACGCTTTCCAAATGCGTGTCGACGACTTCACATGTTCTCTGTTTTTTTATTTATTTCTTCAAATGTAGTATAACGTGTCATATTAGTACTTAAATTGTGTTTTACAATTTCAGTGTTTAGGTTCTCTATAACTAGCGCGAGAAATAAAAAAAATCTATGGTAAAAGATTTTTGAAGTAAAACTCCTTTACTCACGCTTGACTTGGGGAGTAAGCTGGCGAACGCGTGACGAAAGCGTTACGAAAAGTGTGATCGGGCGAACTGGAGTTGAGTTGGGGATATAAGCAAGAGAGAGAAGTGCGAACGCACATTTTCTTTCTTTTTTTTCTCTTATACCCAGCTATTTTTCGTAATTTTATTTCGTTTTGAACAACTTTATGAATTAATATTTTGTTCAATACATTAAATATTCTACGTTTAAAGTGAATAAAATTGTAATTTAATTATAAGTTCATGTTTTGTGAATTTTCGGGTGAATAATAACAAATTATGGAAGGAAGCCGATAATAAATTTTAATATTTGTAGAAAATTAATGGAATAGAATTATAAAGATTTTAGAATAATATTTTATTCAATATAGATTACAAGTAGATAATTCTTATTGAAAGTTCAATTGAGATGCGGTTTACGGCTTTCTAAAGATCTCAATGTGGAATAGATTTGGTGATAATATGAATTGATTCGGACGAGTAGATTTTGAGAAATCTCAAAAATTTTTATTTTTGAGATTTTGGAAAACTGTTTTTTTAATAACTTTTAAACGGCTTTACCGATCGGTTTCAAAATCTAATCAGCTCTCAAAAAATGACGTCGAATAACGTTGGGAAATAAAAATCGGTTCATTCGGTCAAGGAGAAAGAATTTGAAAAAAAAAAAAACGTTTTTTTAACATATCTTCGAGATTTCACAACATAACTTGGTGAAATTTGGAGCGCTTTGCATTTGAAAATATTGGGAAGTTCCAGGGATGGCCTGCAGGGTCAACCAATTTTTTTTAAAGAACTCTCCACCAGCGTCTACACAAAGTTTGATGCGTCTGAACCAATTTTTGAAACAGTTTTTCCAGTACGCATCAAACACCTCTTCTACAGTAATAATTTTCTCTTCTCTAAATTTAGCTACAGGTGTCTACGGACTCCAGTACTTTAGTAGGTAGACTGTAAGATCCTGTTTTTTCAGTTTTATATAAAAGAAACCACAATCAATTTATTGGGCATGTTGAACAGGGATGTTACGGTTACTGAATGCTTTGTTAAAGCGTTGTTAGGTTTGTGCGGGCGTAACTGCAGTGTTTTCTCGTGTCTGACACGTTCATAGCATGAGCGAGCTATTGTAGTGGGACGGGACCTTTAGGTTATAAAATAATAATAAGAAAACTTAGTCAAGTACAAATGATAAGAAATCATAAAATTATATACATAATTAGGATTGTTTCTCGCAAATGAGAACAACAATTTATAATCATTTTCCCGGAAAAAAGCGTGATTTTTCCCTTCAACCCATACCGATAAGATAACCTTCTTATATTATAAATGGGCAGTGTGTTTGTTTATTTATCTTTTTTGATGCAGGAATGGAGTCACGCATCGTTATAAATATTTTTAGAAATAGTCTTGGCGTAGGGTTTTTTGCGAATATTTTCGCGTACTTAATGCGAAAATGGCAAGTGGAATTTGATTAAAATTTTTATGTAGGTACTTTTTATCGCCATAAATGCACGGTTCTGTTAGGATATCTATTAAGCATACTTCTATAAAATAAAACAGCTGAACAGATTTGTTGAAATTTGGTATGGAAATTTCCTAGATCTTGAAATATATTGTAACATATATATTTATGATTTTCAGGTCTAAAAAAATTAAAATAAAGTTAAATAAAGATCATGAGAGAACTTAGAAAAAAATAACACACAAATAAATGCTGTGATATTTTTTCATACCTTACGCTGGGTAAAAAAACAATTATAATGCAAAACTTGTATTACTTTGAAATACGTCTAAAGATACGGCCTAATTAATAAAGCATTACACCATGTTAGTTGGTTAAAGATTACTGGTTATCGGTTAGAGTCCTAAGGATCGTGTTTTAACGCATGCGAGATTTTTATTCAAAAGTTCAACAACTTACGAGAAACCGGTGAGGGCGTTCATAAGTGAGGACTTGCCGGCACCCGACGGTCCCATAATTGCCGTAAGCTGTCCAGATTTAAATACACCAGAAACTTGCTTGAGAATCGTTTTCGTCTCTGCAACAAAAAATAAATAAGTACATTGTAAAATGCGATAAAGAACGTTCAATATAAAATGTACAATAAATTAATATAATATTTATCCTCAACATAACATACATACTACTTGAAAGTAAGTAATTTATACTCTGTTTATTTCAGCAGAGGTTTTATTTAAGAAAACAATGAAACCATGAAATGGAAAAAAATCTATGCAATATATTTTGCCGTTTCTTCACAGTATAAGAACCCTCACTTTGAAATGGTAATAGATTAAAAAAAGCATTTAAGGGATGACCTTGAGGATTTGTGGATTAGACTTAGAGTCGTCAAGACACTGGTGTATTGCGTCTGGAGTATCCGTCACAGGTCTTTGCGGGGGGGGGGGGGGGTGCTTGCCACGGGGTGCTAGTGCAATTTTGGGTATTACTTTATTATTCAAAAATGGTAAATGAAATAAAAATAAATAAACAATACTTATTGTTAAATGCGTGATTGCGGTTTTTTTTGGTATATATTACATGCCTAACTACATATTAAGCCGTCATTGAGACAATTTACAATTTATCTTGAAAAGAGCCTATTTACTTCGATTGTTTTCAGAAATTTGAACATTTTTATTAAAATTTTAAACAATAGGTACAATATATTTGTGATAGCCTTAAGTTAAACATATGTTTTTTATGAGGCACAGGCACAAAGAGATTCACATACAAACTTCTTTAAACATACGGTGTTTTTGGAATTTGAGCGATGTAATCCCCTTAACGTTTAGCTATATACATACATCACAGTGTACTTTGTATATATATACATAGAGCAACATAGGCCACCATCGGACCGGGGTAGACCGTGTTGTTCTACGCATACTACGTATGTAATAACTCTAAATAATATAAGAGTTTAAAAAAACTTAAACATGTTCCTGACAATTATTTTATTCTATCCTGGTGATCCTGATAAAGATACGGTGGTATCAACGGAATTCAGATTAGCACAATGTCTGTCTCAGCGCTACTTGATTAGCGTTGAAACCCACCCTCCTAGTTGCCCTCTAGCGGCAAACGTAGCCAACTACGTCCCCATTCTAAACGTCGCGCGATAAAGTTATTAATTATTGTATTATTATCGGTTCTTGATACGAGTGCAAAATTTCAAGTCAATAGGCCATCTACAAGTTGATTAAAAGCACGTTAAAAGATACCGTTACATAGATAGACAGATAGATCGCGAAGCTAATAAAAGAGTGTTAAATGGAGTATTTGTATTCATTTAATTTCAATGCGTAATTGCGCAAGAAAAATAACGTACTAAAATCAACTGAAATGAGTTTAGTTCATTTCTTTTACTTATTTATGAAAAAAAAAAATAGTATTAGTAATCTATATCCATCCATCTTTTTTTATAGAATAATGGTAGCAAACGAGCACACAGTCCACCTGATGGTAAGTGGATGCTGTGGCCCATAGACATCTACATTTATCCTCAATTAAGTAAAAGTAAAATACAGATGCGTTGTTACCCTTGAGTACTAAGATGGAATTCCTTGGTCCAGTAAAAAAGGTTCTCCGGATCTCTACACTCACCATAAGAAACACAGCAACGTTAAGCTGCTATTTTACGCTGGTATTCTGTGAGAACGTAGTCCTTCCCCAGTCGAGCCGACTCATTGGTGCTACAACTACACTGCTAATATAACTGCGGCATGGCTCTACCACGTTTAAAAATAATCTATATCCATCTATCTATATGTAAGTATAAAAATATTTAAGTGTTTATCGGTAATGTCGAAATAACTGCCTTACATTGAGTTCTTTGCATGCCATTAAGACGTGAAAAACTATTTTTAAATTTATGTCTGTCCGTGTGTTTGCACAAGCTAATCTTCCAAATGGCTGAATCGTTTGTAATGAAACTTCACGAAGAGCGACAGAGAGAAAGAGAGAGAGAGAGAGAGAGAACAATGTCAAAAGTGATGCCTGAGCCTGCACTTTAACCGAAAATCATAGAGATTTAAAAAAATGAAATAAAATGAAAAATTAGTAAATAGTCTTTGACTATATAAAATTTTAATAACACCACATTAATGGATCCTGCCTGGGCGAAGCCGGGGCGGGTCGCTTATTATATTGAGTGAAAATAGTAATCAAAATTGTCCCTTAGTTGCTGTTAGTAACTGAAACATGTTGGCGTCACATAATAATGTTCTCCACACCGAATTTCGGTCACGGCGGCCAGCCGCAACGGCCGCCCAAGCGTATGCGCAAGCACAGGTGCACTCTCTATTCCATCACTCTGATATAAGCATCACATAACAATGTTACATTGTTACTGCTATGAAAATAATATTCAAAAAATGAGACAATAACCTTTCCACTACCTCATATCGTTCCGCGGGTGTAAGAGGCGACATATGAAAACATACCAGACGATGGTGAGCAGCATGGTCTAAGGCAGCAGCTATGTGGTTATCAACCAGGCAACCAGACTGCCAAGCGTGACAGCCATAGGATATTAAAGATAATATATTTGAGTGCCGACTACGCTCAATGACCACCGGACAACCAGACGTTCGGCCAGCCCTTTTGTTGTTGTTTACCACGTATTCTAACCTCATGCGTACAGCAAAAGAGTGGAATAAGTTGCCAGCATTTGTCTTTCCATCCGATTACAGTGTGGGTGTCTTCAAGGCAAGAGTGAATAGGCTTTTGTTAAGTCAGTGCGCTTCACCATCTTAGGTTACATCACCACTTACCATCAGGTGGAGTTGTAGTTAAGCTCTGGATTAGAATATTAAAAAAAAGTGGATTTTGATCATAAACGTATTAACTAATAGGCTGAATGAATGAGAATAAATAACTATATATATGCTATTATTATTATTATTTATTTAATTTCAAGTATTCAGGACTCATTTATTACATTATATTTTTTTCAAATTGTTATTATTAAAAAATAAAAAATTAAATAATCTAACAAAATACGATGGGACAAAAAATATAAGTTATATAAATATAAGTTATTATTTTGACATTGGCATTGACATGACGTTTATACAAATATTGTATTTACATTGACATATACATTACTAGCGTATTATTTAGGATTAAGTTTATCTATAATAAATGCATTATATTTAAAGTTAACAAAGTAGCTTTACATTACTTTATAGTTAACGTTACAAGTTGCAACATTATTTGTTCAATGCTTCAAACCAGCTTGAGTTAAATTATTTTTTTTAAAAAACGAGGCAGATAAAGGAGCACACAGTTCCATTTGTACATGAGGGGCACATGGGGCAATGCCCCAGCTACCGGTGTGACAGGGCCCCCAAAGTGTTCAAACGCACTTTTATATATTTAAAAGATATTTGTTTCTTAAATATTATGTTATACAGTTAACCATATGAAATTATCAACAAACTAATATAACCTATATTTATATGATTTTATTTTTTAACTTTCTAAAGTTAGGTAGTCTAGACTTGCCCTAATGTATGACCTAAGATGGCCCATGCACACAGTCCATCAATAACGTGAATGCTGTGGCCCTTACGTCATGTAACTAGTATAATAAACCAGACAATTGCACGTAGCACTCGCAACCTAGGGTTCCGTATAAACTGAGGTAAGAACCTTCTTTCATGAAAATACGAGTAATTAAGATATTGAAATTCATAAATTATTATCGCTATGGTAAGCTCGAACACGGTCTAACGAAGAGATAAGTCGAACTGAAAGACAAAATTTCTTTAAAGTGGACAAAAATATTAAATTATCTGTCCCAGCTGCTAATGTAGATTTATAATCGCGATAAAATATTTTTTTGATATAACTATAAATTAAGGGTTTTCGTTTATTACTTTACTTGTGCTGGGAGATGCTGTGAGCTTCTTGGCAAATTTCAGAGTATAGGCTAACAAGAAGAACATAGGTTTTGATGAGTGCGTTTACGAGCACCAAAAAATATGACACAAATTGCCGTTACTATTGATAGAGTTAGTAAAACTTAAATTTTATACACCACCAAAGAACCGCAAACACCATTGGATATTAATTTCAACTTGATGCCTCAACATGTTCCTGAGACAAAAGGTCTTGACAGGCGGACAGGGTTCGTTATTTTTTTTAATTTACGGAACCCTAAAAATGGTTCCTATTCTTCTGTTTTTTTTTTTGGACTTTAGCATACAAGTACGGGCCTCACCTACAGTAGGAGACGGTGAAAATAAAACGTGACCCACGTCGGGAGTATTAAATATCGCTTAATTTAAGCACTGAAAGAATTGTACGCAATGTCAAATTTTAATATCTTCGCTATCAAGTAGTTCACATCTGGGCTATGTATATAAGGTTCAATTTAAAGTTTTATTATAAACATAAATAATTAAAAAAAATCAAATATACTGGTCATCAAAAAAATCGACCCTCCCATTTTTTTCACTTAAAAGCTGTTTCACAAAGGAGACAATCAATTTTTGTATGGAGAATGGGCCCACCACAAATTTTCGCGTCACGCAATGAAATGGATGTCGATTTATTCCTTATAATTTATAGTTTACAAAAGTAATATTAGTTTTACCACATCTAGACGGAAAATCGAGAAATTGACAATTAAAATATGAATTTTAAAATAACCTATAAATAAACTAAAAGCTATTTATAGTGGTTTTTACCGGTATTTTAAGTTAAAATAGTGCACTGTTGAATAATAGTTCATATAAAACCAAGTTGTAGGTACATTCAGCATTTTCAGGTACTTCAATATTTTTAGTAGTTACGGCAAAATATAGTGCCTGTCTGTGTACAAATGTGGTATGGATACAATTTTTTACATATATTGATTGTGAGTGTACTTCCCAATTACCGTTAAAATAATATGAATAAATTCAAGATGACTAAGGTATAATATATCCATTTATATTTACAATATTACCAACACACGTTATATAGTAAG